AAAAAAAAAAAAAAAAAAAAACAATAAGTTGATGTACATAAATTAGCTTATCAACTATGAAACTAAAGAAGTATTAGACTGGCAAATGCTTTAACTCTTACAAAAGACAAGTAAGGACCTATTCCAGAATAGTACTTGTCAATAACAAGAAAGATATAAGAAAACAAGCTAAGACAGTTCACAAGAACTTGGAAAGAAGATTGATTAAAGTGAAGTCCAGAATATCTAGTACTTAATCTTAATCTTGATAAAAGGCAAAAACTTTGAATAATCATCAAGAGCAATAATCAGTAGCAACAACTTGTTTGGGAAAAGTTGATTCTAGGTAACAATAAAAAATGCATTAAAATAGATTATTTCAAATATGACAGCTTCAAGAAAACTTAGAATCAAACCTGATGAAATGTTAGAGCTACCTAGAAAGAATCAAGACTGAAAACTGATGCATAGAGAATTACACATAAAATAAATATATATGATTCCTTATATTAATACTAGAAAATCTATAAGGAGAAATCAACTCTTAAAAATCCCTTGTTCCAAGGTAGCCCTAGAGAAATCAATAAGTAAAATAATTTATATAGACTCAGTGATTATACAATGTGATAGAAGGCAACTAGAAGAAGTAGAAATAGAGAACTGGAAGAAAAAGCTTATTAAAGAGAATATTAAAGAAGGTATGTATCAAACCCATCTGATTGAAATACTTAGGTATAACAAAGGAGATAATAGTAATAACAAAATAATCTTTTATTCTAATTGATCCCTTGTTGATCCTAGAAATAAAAATATGAATATAGATATAGCATAGATACAAATTGAAAAAGCAGAAAGAGAAAGAAAGTTTCAAGCAGGGGCAGCTGATTGATCTTTATCCACAAAAGCTGAACTAGTAGCAATAGTTATTATATTATTAATAATACCTTGTTAGTAGCAAGGTCAAGATCCACACTGACAATCAAGCCTGCATCTCCAAATGAAAAACTATAGAAAAGAAGGATTCCAAAAAAATCCAACAAAAGATAGCTAAAAGAACAAAATTGGTTCTTGTGGGTACAAATATTAAGCTTGATAAAGAAAAAATAATTAGATCTAAATCTTATTAAGGTTAAAGCACACTCTAACATTCAATACAATGAGGAAGCAGACATTGTAATCAAAGAAGTATTAAAGTTCCCAACAATAGAATGGCAAAATCTGGACTTACCTAAGATTATTACCAAAATTAAATGACAAAATATAGTACTGAATGCTTCAATAAGGCAGTTTGTTAAAAAAACCCATGCCAAAATAATAACACATCAATGGACAATCCAAAATAGAATAGCCAAAAAGTGGAGTCATCAAATTCAAGACCAGCACAAATATATATGGAACCTAGTTTGGGAACAAATTAATAATGGATATATATGAAATACCTCCTTCAAAGAATCACAAAGAAAAAATTTCTTGTTAAGATGACCAGTGACAAGCTATCCACATTAACAAAGCTAGCCACAAGTAGACCAGACTTATATAAGCAAGTAAAATGTCTCACATGTGAATAACAAGAAGAGACAATAGAACACTTGCTAGAATGTCTAGCATATAAAACTCAATGGCAAGAAGCCTAATAGAAGAGTATAAAAGATATGATGTAAGGTTTCAACAAACTTCTGGCAGATAAGAAAAAGAAATCAGAAGAAAAAGATATAAGCCTGGCAGTTGATAACAGAATGAAAAGAGAAAAAATGGATAAGAAAATAGCTCAACTAGTAGAAAGGATCTCAAACACTGGTTGGGATATACTTAGCTTCTGTATGGAACTGATTAAAAAAGACTTAATGAATAAGATAGCAGACTTGAAGTGCTATGGAAAGAGAATTGGCAAAGAAGCAAGAAAATGAATAATGAAGATGCAGAAGAAAACATATAACTACTTTAGAAAGAAAATTTGGAATATCAGATGTGAAAATGTGATAGAGTGGAAATGGATATTGGGAATCAACAGAGATGACAAGATCAAAAGACCGATATATCTACAGAAGCAAAAAAACAGGGCCAAGATATCAAAAAATTAGTCATATTAAGTATCATTAAAGAAAGAAGAATTAAAAAATACAATGCTCAAACAGGTTCTGCAAGATGGAGTAAAGTATAAGATGAAATAGCTGGGTTTTAATATTTGTCAAAACTCAAAAGAGTGATCTGCAGTAGTGATCTATAGGTAAAGATGTTAGAAGTTGGAAGGGTATTTACCTAAACTCCTAATGGAGTGATAAATTACTCCTGAAGTTGCACTTAGAAAGATAAAACAATCCAGACAAGTGAGTTAATTAAAGAATTAGCTTTAGTATTTTATATTAGATGTATAGCTTATAAATGTTTAATAAAGTATATGTAACTAGCCTGACAGAGGGCAAAAAAAAAAAAGGATCTGATGCTTTATTATTTGGAAGAGATTTTAATATAGTTTCAAGTCCTTCTATTTTGATTTTTTCTATTAATAAAAATATCATATTAAATTATTTTATTCTTTAGGTTAATATTTTTTAGAAGAGGTTCAACCTTTCAAAGTTAGTTTTTCTTTATTTAAAGATTGCTTTATAATAATTTTTCACTGTGTTTTTGATAGTTTGTAAATCAGTAGTTATACTATATATTCTATTTTTACTTAATTTTTAGCTAATATCCAATCTAAAATTATTTTAAGTCTCTTTTAATTTAAAGCTGAATTTAGTATTTACCTTTGATTGGTTTTGCGATTCTTGTACCTAACTTCTAAGATCTTTTTAATTTAATTTTTGATATATAAACTTTTTTTTTTTATATATATTGTTTTGAAAATATATCCTATAGTAATAATAATCTTAAGTTTTTCTAAAAATTTTTTTGATTTCTGGAATATAATATATTTATATCAAGAATTTCTTTATATAAACCTTGTAGGTTATAAATAACCTTTTCTATATTTTATAGAGTTGTTGAATTCTAGCTTGTCTATACTTTTTCAAAAGAAAGTGAATTTTGTTGATTTCTCTATAAGCATTAAAGTCATTTCTTGAAATCACTAATTCTGATATAACTTTTTTATTGAGGTGAAGTAGACTCTTTTTTAAAAAACATTTGTATACAACTTTGATAATTGTTGTTTCAAACTTTTGCCAAATGTTATTGAGTTCTTATAGATCATTTTTTATCTATAAGGAAGAAATCATGGATCAGGTTCAGGAAACCAAAGTTTTATTCAATATGTAAATTTTTTCTATTGTTCTACTATTGAGTTAACTGAGTCAGGAACTTTCTTTCCTTTTGTTCTTTGCTGTTATTAAACTAGATTTCTTAATAAGTTGTTTGTTGTTAATCTTATTAATAATAGCATATGGTTACTATCTAATAATGTTGTCACTGGAATATTCTTGAAATCATAGATATTGTTTAGAGTAATGTCAGATAACATACAAATATAGTCAATTATACTATATGAAATTTTGTTTGTCCATGTAAAGATAGTATTATTTCCTTTCTATGAGTTTTGAATATCTATATAATTTCACCCTATTTTAGTTTTTTTGTATAGTACCGGTCAAAAATAAGTTATCTCCTCTTTTTTACCCTTTTTCAGTATGATAATTTAGTAATTTATTGTTTTTTGAGATAACCGATAGTAATAAACTATAGGCAATAATCCTGATAGATAGAAATCACAATTCGGAACTTCAGCTCAATGAATTTAAGATTTATTCTATAAATACAATGATGATTAGTTTAATTCATATCGACGCTGCACTAATTGTGTTACAATGCGATATGCGCATTAAAGTCGGGATATTTAAAATTAGATACAGTAAATTATTACACGATTGAATGTTATTAAAAGCTATATACTGTATTTTCGAACAATTAAATGTTCAGAGTTAGATTAAATCATATTCACTACTTCAATATTTCATGACATTTTATTCATCCTACAGATTCTTTACTCTTGAATGCCATAAAATTCTCTATTACATTCCATTCCAAAAAATTTTAGCGCATTTTTGCTCAATATTTTTTCTTTATCCTCGTCGCTCAACCATTCGCATCGTTCAATCATCTCTCCGGGATGATGCTCACCTAAAGGAAACGGATAATCACTGCCTAACATTATTTGTTCCACACCCATTTTCTTGATTATAAATTGTAAGGTGTCTTCATCGTGAACTAGTGAGTCGACATAAATTCGTTTCAGATACTCGCTATTTAGATGATCGAGAAATTAGGTACAATGATAGGTGAAAATCAAAATTCAGAGAAATTTTCACATACAGAGGACTCCTTTTTGTTTTAATAGCACAAAGGTCCGGTCGGACCTCAAAACCATGTACAATTCGGCCCAATGTTCCGGGAAATGAACCTCCACCGTGAGCAAAGGATATTTTAAGTTTTGGATAGCGTTCGAGCACACCCCCGAGGATTACGGAGCAAATTGAGATTGTTGTTTCACATGGCTAATAACATATACGTATTAATAGAATTGTTCACCTAACAACTGAGTTAATAAACAAAGGCATTTAAAGAGTCTCACCATTCCAATTAACCTAATTATTCATTAGAAATAATAATGAATTATGAAAATTGGAACAATTATTATAAAAATGTTAACTTACCATGGATACCAATATTTCTCCATTCGACCTTTATTTTCCATACCCTAATTATATAGATTCATTATGAAGCTTATGAAATTGTGAATTGCACACTATCTAAACACGTACCCATGGATGAACAAATACCGCAGCATCAAGCTTTTCGCAAGCCTATTGATCAAAGAAAATTTCGATATTTCATTGTACGCTAAAGTGAGATTCATTAAATGTCGCATACCTCCCAAAATGGATTCAATTCGGGCGCGTCCAAATTCCATTCATTGACGTGACTTCCTATTTGTACACCACGAAGACCAAGCTCGTTCATGCATCTCTTCAGCTCTTGTACGGCCAAGTCTGGTGATTGCATAGGGACTGTGGCAAGTCCAACAAATCTTTTGGGATTTTCGGAGCATACTTGGGCAATATGATCGTTAAGATAGCGCGCCAATTCGAGAGTATGTTGGGGCTTTCCGAAGTAAGCAAACATTACGGGAACAGTTGAAAGAACCTGAATTTTAATGATAAGGATATACCGTGTTACTTCTCTTAAAAAACGATAAGTTATCATAGATGTAGTTACTTGAACGTCTACTCCATCTGCATCACATTCTTGTATTCTTTCACTAGCAGACCAACAATTACACTTTATCTCACGGAAATCTTTCCCATCCAGAAGCATCTTGGCCCTACCCTAGATGTCCAAATTTAAATAATAATGCACTGGATTTTACTCTTAATTGCAGCATGCATGATCTTTAAACAACAATATGGATGTTACCTCTTCATGATGAACTAGTTTTGTCCATCCGCCGTAACCATACTTCTTTTCCATGTCAGGTAAATGTTTCGGGAGTATGTGCCTAATGAAAAAAGACACTAATGACATTCAGAAAGAGGTTTTTTTTTAAAAAAAAAACCCCCCCGAAAAGAAATATTTCTACTAACGTATGCATATCGATTTTAAGAAATTTTCTATTAAAAGCTTTTGTTGTGACAATTGTATCCCCATTACAAGAAACACTCGACGCTGCAGATACATCTGTTTTCACTGCGGTAGTTGATATTGTCATTGCGGTAGAGAGGAGAAGGTTTAAAAAACCAAAAGTATCTCAAGTGCCAAGATTTATAATGAAATTCATTTTACTTGGAAGTGATACCATTGATCCATCGACACAAAGTTTTCACTACGTGAGTATCAATTGACTTGACAATATTTAGTTCCAAATTAGTTAATGAATTTGATTATTTCTAAAGAAAGTAAATGTGGACACAAAATTATCAGGTGATCGCGTGAAAATAGTTATGAAGCGTGGGAATAAGCTTGAGGTGTTGAATCAACAAACTTTCGCGCGTCAGCGATTATAACCGATAAGGCGATTTGATTGTTGACAATGCAGGGGAATCTTTTATGTTTACTTATGATTGGTCTTGAGACAAGAAAATACATTCACAGTTAAAGTTTATTTCGTCATGACAGAACCTCTTGTATTTTATACAAACAGCTCTTTGCCAAGTTGTACACTCATTTTGAGGCGTATATAAAGATTTATGTGTGATTTACATATAAAGTTACCTTTTACGTACAGTTTCTTGTTAAATTGATATCAATCAAGCTGGTTTATTGAACACTGCGATTATGATTGATATAAAACTCTTCTTTAATAACTGTTGCACCAAACTTTGGCCTTTTTTATTATTGTTGTTATTTTGTTATTTAAAAACACAAGTCTCGATCTACTTTGTGTGACTTTTCGAATATAAATTTCAACATAAAAGTACAATAGAATTAGAGTTTTCACGTATAATTGTTACATATAAAGTCAATTAATAGTATACGTTAAAAGTTTGTGGTTTTAAAAGAGATTTTTCTAAGTTAAAATAAGCAATCATTTAATCATTTATTTTAAAAGTAAAGGTGTTTTTTCGTAGTTGGGATCACTGTTTGATATATTACAGGTCAAAAAAAAAAGAAAATGATACAAAAAACAGTTGAAATATAGCAACAATTTTTTTTTTTATCGAAATTATTATTGTTAAATATGATTATTTTTAAAAATGTTAATTAAATTCCAATTACTTTTTTTTTTTAAAAACTCCTGGTCACACTAGCATAGTGTGTTTATTAATCTTTAAGAAAAATGATAGAGAAATATAGGGCAATTATATCATAGCTAAACTAAATCTCATGCTAACTCACTTATCAACTTTTAAGTATAACCTCAGAAACAGTATTTCATTTCAAAATAAGTTTTGGATAAATATCTTTCTAACTTGCACATCATTGCTAACAAGTTGTGCTACTTATTATCTTTTAAGGAATTGATTTTGAAAAATTACAAAAGAGTAAAAAAAATAAAAATAAAAATAAAAAGATATACACAAAAATATACAATTGTGTTATATATAAATAAAAAAAAAAAGAAAAAAATAAAATTGCTTTATATCCTATAAAAGATATTTGTTAAAAACCTTTTCTTATTAGGGATCAACCTTTTTGAAATATCTTTTTTTTCCTGACTATTTAAAGAAATTATTCATCTATAGTTTTGATTATTTTCTTATAATCATCTAAGGTATTTATTATCTATTCAGATTCAATATTTTATTTTTCATTTTTTTTTCAATATTGATTTTATATTTACATATACAAATCAATGACTTATAATAAACTCTTAATAATTTTTTAGTCTTATTGTATAACTTCTAATATTTTCTAATAGTCATATTCGATTAAAGGAATTTTACTGGTAAATATTATCTATTATTCA